TGTGAGAATTATAAGTGCTAGACGAGGCATAGGGGGCAGTATGGCCACATGGCTCTTCAACTATTGTGCATACATCTTGTTCCCACTTACAGTCCACAGCATGTTAAAAATAATTCCCACCCCAGGAAAACCACCCTGTGCACAACACTCATGCTTGTCCTTGCTCAGTCATAGTTTCATAGTTGGTAGGGTTGGAAGGGACCTGAGGAGATCATCTAGTCCAACCCCCTGCCGTGGCAGAGTACTGGGGTCAAACAATCCCGGCCAGATGTTCGACCAGCCTCCTTTTAAAGACCCCCAGGGTAGGAGCCAGCACCACTTCTTTTGGAAGTTGGTTCCAGGTCCTAGCTGCCCTGACAGTGAAATAGTGCTTCCTAATGTCTAGCCTGAAACTACCCTCTGCTAGCTTGTGTCTGTTGTTTCTTGTAACTCCTGGGATTGCTCGGGGTAACAGGGACTCTCCCAATGCCTGCTGGTCCCCCTTGACTAGTTTGTAGACTGCCACTAGATCCCCTCTCAGCCTTCTCTTTTGGAGGCTGAACAGGTTCAGGTCCCTTAGCCTCTCCTCGTAGGGCCTGTCCTGCTGACCCCTGATCATGTGGGTGGCCCTCCTTTGGACCCTCTCCATATCGGCCACATCCCTCCTGAAGCACGGCACCCAGAACTGGATGCAGTACTCCAGCTGTGGCCTGACCAGTGTCCCATAGAGGGGGAGGATCACCTCCTTGGGCCTGCTTGAGATGCATCTGTGGATGCACTACAAGGTATGGTTGGCCTTCCTGACCGCGTCCCCACACTGTCGGCCCATGTTCATTGTGGCATCGATGATGACTCCAAGATCCTTTTCTGTCTCAACACTGGTGAGAAGGGAGTTCCCCAGCCTGTAGGTGTGCCGCTGGTTCTTCCTCCCCAGGTACATTACCCTGCACTTGTCAGTGTTGAACCCCATCCTGTTCTCTTCGGCCCACCCCTATAACCTGTCTAGATCTGCTTGCAGCCTGTTCCTTCCTACTAGTGTACCTGCTTCACCCCACATATTAGTCATCTGCGAACTTGAACAGGGTGCTTTCTACCCCCTCACCCAAGTCACTGATGAAGATGTTGAATAGTGAGGGCCCAAGGACTGAGCCCTGGGGAACCCCACTGCCCACATCCCTCCAGGTCGAATAAGACCCATCCACCACCACCCTCTGGTCCCCAGCCCTCATCCTCAAAATTCACTTTCTTTCACTCTAAAACGTAGTGCCTGACTTTTGCCTCTTTGAAATTTATAGGCTGAGTTTTACTTGTCTATAAAAAGTTTTGTGAGATTTAATTGTGCAGGTTATAAGCCATTTTTAAGACCACAAAACTATTTTAAGCAACTATTTAAATTTTCTCTCAGGAAATCATGTGCAGCCAGAGCAGAAAGATCCTTGTAAAAAGGAGGAAAAGTTAATAAATGAGCCCTTGGCTGTTATTCCAGCACCTCATCAAGGGCCTGTGTCATTCCTTCCACTTCCATGTTCCTTGTCACATGCCACTGGATGATCCAGGCAGGGGACCTGAGACATCATGGTGATGAAGAGGTGGCTGATCTCAGGTGTTAGAATTGCATCATATAGCTGTCACCTACCAACAGGATCCAACAACTTGGAAAATGCAGCTAGGCCAGTACCCAAGTACTCCCTGGGAATCCTCAAACTTCATAAGTCAGCAGGCTTGGGGCAGCTTCTCAGCTCTGAGCCCCAGGCTCCCTCAAAAGGTTTGTTAATGTATGTAGGAGATACCTCTTAATTGTACTACCCATGTGCTCAGGCTATTGAGGCTATTTTTAAGCAAAATTTCCTGATCAGAGGCAGGATGCAGCATTATCTCCTATCAATAAGGATAGAAATGTGTAAGGACCCAGGACCTGATGGCCTTTCTAATCTCCTGCTTGTCCATGGGCCCACACTTATGTGATGGGTCATTGGATGGGTGAGGGGATTATACCTCTCTTGCCCATGTGTAGGACCTTTGTGATCCTGTTGTAATTTATTTCACAATAGGAGACAAACATTTGTCAGTGCAAGGCTGGGTCAGTGGGTTGGAATGCACCTATGGCTGATGCAGTAATTCCATATCATGCTCTGTAACATTCACTGTGGGCTTCCAGTGCATCAATCACAAGGCCCCTTTGTATGGGGCAAGTTCTTCAGGGGAGGGGACATATAGGTCTCCACCAGCACTGCAACTGCTGGATGAATGCTGCTGAGGGAGGGCACCATTTCCATGTGTTCAAAGTCTGACTTTCCCATGTCCCTCATTAATCTCCAGCATCATCTATGCTGAACCTCAAGTTACACCTGATACCATATCCAACAAGGATACTTGCATAGCTCTTAAGGGTGACTTTAACCTCCTGGGTGGTGGCGTACCGTGGGTCTCCAGTGCCTGGGGACCAATGCATGCATTTGCGCTTCCCCCACCATCCATGCCCGATCGCTGAGCGGGGAGGAGGGGTTCCCCTGTCAGCAGAGCCCAGAAACACTGGTGGCAGAACTGGAAGTGCTGGCAGCGAAACCAGGAGTGCCACCGGGGGACTTAGTACCTCCTGGAGGGCCCACTTGGTGCCCCTCCTCCCCCCCAGGCTGGTGCCCAGGGGCATGGCCTCCCCAACCCCCGCCCCCCCCTCCATTGGTACGTCAGGGCTCCTGGGGTCTTGCATCTTGAACAATGATGCTTTGTGCTCTGAAAGAACTTTCCATTAGCAACCTATGGTCTGCAGACCCCTGGGGGTCCACAGAGTATGTCTAAGGGGTCCGTGAAAGATCACTGTGATCAATCAAAAGTACATGAATACCCACACTAGGAAAATAGAAATTGTCCTAATGGCCAGTTCCCACTGCTCTAGTCTATAGCTGATGTGGCTTCCCAGTGGGAAGGGTCCTTTCTTCTGTTACCCCTAATGACATGACAGGAGAATCATTACTTTGTATGTATTCTTTGTCTCTAACTAGTCTAGTCTCAAATTGTGGGTTTCATTCATCTGGAGCTACTCAACCTAAGTGCCACTTGTTCACATGATTTACAGGAAAATGACACAAGTGGGTTCAGATTCATATTTGAGCCCAGTTTCTTGAGGATCTGAGTTAGGCTTACAGCACCAAAAGCATGGATTTGTGGCTGAATCTTCATGCAGGATTCTGTGCCTTGCTGCAGGTGGTGTGGATGAATCAGGACCTTGCTTGTCACATTGTTCTTGGTCAGGCCATGCTTCAGGGAAACCTGGCTGTTTGTGGGATGATAATAAGATAACCATGTTGTAGAGAGGTGTTGCTGTGTTTCATCTGGAAGAATTTGGGTTCTTCACTTTGGGACTTGACCTCAACTTACATTAACACTGCCTAGAGAGGGATAAGATGGCAGCTGTCCTTCATCTGTGGATTCTAAATTATCAGCACGTGTGTTGTCTCCCAGAGCTGATTTGCATCTTCCCATTCTAATTGGATGGCATTGAAAAGAGGTGGCTAGAAATGTGGGGGAGATTCAGAGGCTGAGAACAAGGTCACAGATCAGACGAGAGACCATGGTCTTGGGGACCACTGAGGAACTTAGTTCTTCCAAATGCCCTGCCCACAGGAAGCTCTAGGACAGAATGAGGCTGGCTGCTTGTTTATCATGGAAAGAAATGGGAAAAGTCATTACATTATTAGAGCATCTTTCAAAGAGGAAAATCCTAACCCCCAAATACTTGAATTCTTGTGAAAGCCTCTTGTCATGGGAAAGTCTGAGAAAAGTCAAACAAGCACCCTTTATGTTATCGTAAAATCATTGTTATGATAAGAATGATAGTAAAAATGATGTAACCCCCTTTGCTTATATATGATAGTAATCTAAAACCATGCAGAAACACAAACATCACCACACTGCATAGGGATAAAGTCCAATAGTTAGGGGAATCATGCTCAGTACATCTCAAGCTGAGGGGATGAAGGCCAGAGGTGGTATTTTCAGTAGTCCCTAAAACCCACTTTCAAAAGTAACCTAGTCACCTAGAAGCCTCAGTTTAATGCAAAGTCAATGGGACTTAGGCACTAAAGACACAGAGGTTTTGGAACATGTTACCATAGGGCTTGTTATGAAAATCTACTCTGAGTTATGGCATATTCAGCCGTAGTCAGAACCTAGCCTTCTTCTTGGAGGTTAAAGATGAACAGCTTAACTCCTAAGCATGTCTGGCAGCTGGGAAACTGACTGATGCTTTCACATCCTTCATTGTGAAGTGGATACTCTAAAACAGCTGCTATTCAGGCACTTCCCTTTTCTCTCTTGTCGCCTATGAGGCCAGCTGCGTTTACTTGAATATAGCTAACTTCATCCTGACCTTTCATATATGCAGAGTAGCCTGCAGAGTTTTAGATTTAAATAACACAAGACACAGTCATGTCAGTGGCAGGAAAGAGAAGCACTGGTCCTTGTTCTATAGACTCTTCCCTTAGAGACTACCCTCTGAAATCAGTGGGAATGCTGTGACCAGGGGCCTTTTGAAATTACTCTGTTATAAAGTGAGTAACAACTGGTTGAATAGTAGGTGGAAAAAATTCAAGTAGTAGGCAAGGGACGGAGAGATGTTATAGGGAGATCTGAAAAGGGATGATGTGGAGAGGCAGCTCCAGAGACAGGCTAGTGTAGTTAAGGAGAAGGCTCACACATCAGCAGCAAAGTGGTTGAGTGCAAGGCTGAAGAGGAAGGCATTAGACTTAGGAGAGTGTGTGGGGGATGGTCTTTGATCAGCTGTATCAATTAGCCCTTGTCAATTTTGTGACTACCACTGAACAATGCAGCGTGCATGTGAGCTAAGATCATGGCAGGAAAGGTAGGATCAGGAATACATTAAACTTACATTAAACTTAATGAGATCAGGGATACATTAAGCTAGTGAGTAAAAATCAGAGGTTTGAGTTAAGGTGGAAGAAAGAGGACGTGGAATTATGGAGTTTTGCCATAACTCCTTAAGCTATATGTTTTCTTCCTAGCTCATCCAGTGATTGAGTATGGATACCTGGAATGTCCCCAAGGGTACAAGAAGCTGAATCAGAGCCACTGTCAAGGTAAGGCCCCATTTCCAGCCCACTATCTGTCAGGCGGAGCAAAATATAGATAGGTAGGATCCCTAAAACAGATCAATTGGCAAAATTATATTTGAAGAACCATGTGCCTTTAAAGTGTGAAAAAATAGTTTCATTTTAATTGTATGTAAATATTGCATGACTGAGAGCTTGTATAGCTGATTAACAGCAATATCAACATGGCAAAAGTCACCCGATACATCACAAGAACAATCTTAACTCTGATCCACCAGGTACATTTGCTATGCCCCATGCTGTGCATAAGTTGGTGATCTCCATGTCTACGTTCAGCACATACTTAGTAATGTTAAGCAGAAGGGATGTGTATGTTTCTTGAGGAAACTCTACCCCTTAGTTACTAAGGAAGCTTTGTATGGGAGTTTGTTTAATTTTTTTTTCAGGAAAGGGAGCTGAGACCATGAAAGTGAGTTAGTGCATAAATCTTTCTATACTGACTACGTAAACTTTCTACAGTTCGAGGTTCCTCAGAGTCTGTTTTAAACTGGGGTAGGGCTTCCCCTTTGCATCTCTCATCCCCAAAGCCCCCTCTGCCCTCACTCAGGGCAATGATGTCTCTCTATCACTCATTATCTATATCCTCTTTGCTTCATATCAGGCGATAAAGTTTGTGTTTTCCACATTCTGGTTGAAATCTGGAATTTCCTGATTCCATTTTCATGATTCATAATGATCTAAGAAGTGGCAGTCAAAAAATGCATCAAAGAGACTGGGTCTAGTCCAAGCAAGCCCACGGCCAGTAGTCCACTGACTCACCTCCTCTAGCAGGGACTTTCCATCATGTTTAGTTAATGAGTCAAACTTGAGTTTTCCCACAGAGTCCTGTGGGACAGTTTTCACGAAGGTAGTGGCTTTGATTCCCCATGATGGTTTGACTGTGTTTTTGGTATGACTTGTAGCATTGGGTGTGTGTTAGGAGGGAAGAAGATGTGGTCTGGAGCCACCCCAGGGGCCTTTCTGAGCCAGGCAGAAGACATACTGTCCTGCAGGTGCTCTGTTGCCTTGAGGTGCCATCTGTACTCACATTCATGTGTACTTGCTTTGGCTGTGGGATGTTTTAGGAACTTAAGCACTAGCTCAGAATCTGAATTGAAAGACCAAGAATGCAATTTGTCTGATAGAGCATCAGAGAGGAACCATCCAGGTTAACTGAGATCCTCACCAGCAGAGTGTGATGATGAGAACTTAATGTATTTTCTTAAGACCATTGGCCATGAGATGGGAGCTCAGCTGTCAGGAGGCCAAGATGCTGTGTGATTAACTGAGCTTTGGCTTTGTAGGCTCTTGTGTAAGCATTGATGAGGGAATGCAGCAGCATTCTAGCTAAAGCTAAGGGGACCTTGGGAAACCTCCTGGCTCTGATCTGTAAATCCAGCAAGCCAGTGTGGGTTTCCCCTGTTCCCTTGCTGCAGACAAACAAATTACCTATCTCCATTTCCAAGGATACTCCCTGTCCTTTGCTTGCTGTGGACCATGGTGCAACCTTGAAGAGGCAAGCCTGTTACTGTGTCCAATCAAGAACAGTGGAAAGATCCAACACTAGTTAGCATTACCTCGAGGCCATCTAAACAGATTTCAGGAAACACTATCCAGACTCATTTCTCTGGAGGTCAGCTGGGCTGCACACCATGAATACTCCAGAGCCAATAGTTGGAAGCTGGAGCTGCAGTGTCTCCAGTGGATTTGCTGATTGCTGTTGATTACTGATGGGCTGAGGGCTTCAGCTCTGCTATTCACAAAAGCAGTGCAAGTGCTGGAGAAGGAGCCTCCTGGTGCTCCCCACATATGACTCTGTGCATCAGGGAACATGGCACTGGGAGGAGAAACCCAGCTGCTGGACCTACAATTGTCTTGCAGGCCTGGGTGGGAAAAGATAGAGACCCCTCCTCTGGCTGAGCTACAAGTCTTGTTGCCGCCAACTGAAATATGCAGGAGGACTGAGAGCACATAGAATCATAGAATCATAGAAGTAGGGTCGGAAGGGACCTTGTAGATCTTCAAGTCCGACCCCCTGCCTGGGCAGGAGGAAAACTGGGCTCAAATGAC